TTGTTCACGTAGTTTTTCTCGATCATCGTGAGCCACAGATAGCCGGCAAGTCGATCAAAGTCTTAAAAATGTAAAGATAGCACGGCTTTAAACTCTGCACGGAATCCATTTGATTGTTTTACAAGTTCCATTCCTATACCCTCACTGAACATGGGTAAGGATCAAAGACGGCAACAGCTCACTGCGCTTCAAGGACACGTTGATCAACGTACTGTCTGATATGGTGATCGATGTATTCCTCGCTGTCTGAAAAAGAAGTCGGGCGAGCTTCACTGGCGAGCTGCGTAATCTGAGTTCGTGGTTGACATCAGAAGAGGAATTTACCATTCTGGTAGCCGAAGGGAATCATACTCTTCTATGACAATAAGTAACGTCACGGGCCAGAGGCGTGGCGCTGAACTAGTTTCCATTGCTTCGGCGTGGAAAGGCAATCGCTGTGAAACATTGATGAATCAGACCTGAGAGAGAACTATTCGACCTGATATCTTCTTCCATCGTCTGAAGTACCAATTGAGTGGCTTTCTCGCGATATATTTGTTGCTCAGACCCTTTCTCGTGACGAAGACTTCATTGAGCTTCAACCTTTGTCATCAACAGATATCTCTGCGGTCAGTGTACACGCGTCAAGAAATAAAACAAATGCGAGGACGAAAGGTTGTGTAAACCATCCTTTCTTTATCATGTGCTTTATAGTGTGCATTGGTGCTACTCTCCTTGATATTGTGTATGTACTACTTCATGTGTTGTCTGTACGTCTGAGAGGTCGATATGGCTTGTGGCTCTAGTGAGGGCACAACCGCTGCTTGACATCTTGACAGTTTCTGCATTCACTGAGCCGGCCTAAGAACGGAATGTTGCAACTTCTGTCATACTTAACAGCCATATTTTCGTGCATCTCGGCTATGGGCACCAATACGTTTTCGCTCCTTCCTCCTCAGAGCCACCATGCCCCACATACACTCAGTTGTTAACTCCTCCGCCAACTCCTGGCGTTCTGCTTTGTTTCCTTACCTTCACTACCCACTTTCACTTTCACTCTCCTGCGTTCTCCAACCGGCTCCCAGTTCCCAGTCTCTCCGCGACCGCCTCGTTCCCACGACTTGATCTTTCTGGCTGTCATTAGTCGACTTGCTCAGGCTCCACGCTCATTCAGCAAATCAAGTAAGTTTTGCGTGGTTCTTCTCTGCACGCCAGTTCAGTTTCCAGTTGCCGGAATACTCTCAAAGCACATGTTTCTTGAAGTCACGTTTTCTTATTGCGGACATCGCACTTCTAGCGCTTCTTTGAATGCTTTCCTCGTCTGTCATGTTTTCTCCTTTGATTCACACGAGCGCGTTATGTTGTTGTTCCTTCCTTGTCTTTACATGTGCACACTTCATACCCCAGCAAACCCGAAACAGTATCTCTCGTCCTCGTTTCTGCCTTAACATTGCGAGTTGTCGTTTCTTCACAGGGACTGTATCGTTGAATCACGAACCTGAAGCTTTGTCAGTCATCTCTTGATTTTGGCTCTTTTCATGTTTCAGGAGCTGGCTCTCGTGGATGACGTTGCAGCTTCCGTGTTGTCGCCATCTGATATTGTCTCTTATCCCGTCCTTCATATTCTTTTCGTGTTTTGCGGGTCTCTTTGGTCAACCAGAAACTAATCACACTCTTAGACAGTCTCTGACGAGCAGTCAAAGCAAGTGAGTTCAGCCTGTTTCCAAATGACAAGATCTCACACTAACATGGCGCAGTGGAACAGCATACTGTCAGTGTTCCCGACAAGTTCGAGTACTACAAGGACGTGATCGACTACCCCCCCGAAGACTGCTGTCCGGTCACTCGCCCGATGGCCGCCCAGGTTGTCCGTGTCAAGAAACATCGCTCGAAGGGCTTCCTCCCCGCTTGCGGTTTCATGACTGCCTTCATGGCTCTGGTTCTTGCGATCATTGGCCTTGGCCTTCTCGCCTCTGGTATGTGCATGCACGCCTTTTCACGACAACATCTAACATGTTCAGGTCGTGTCACCTTCAACGTCAATGCCGAGGATGCTGAGGATACTTTCCCTCAGCTTGCCCGCCGTGACTTCCACGCCACTTACAGCTACGCGTTCCCCAACACCACGGTTGTCACTTCGACTGCTGGCGCCCCTGAGGCCTATGGCTCCCAGACCACCTCCGCTGTCAACACCACTGTCTCTAACAGCACTGTCTCACTCACCAAGACCGCTACCGTGTTTGCCACTGTTTCCCTCGACAGCACCATGGGTATCCAGGCCACTTCTGACGCTCTTGCCCTCACCGGTCCTGCTGCCTCAGACACTGTCACGTGAGTCTACAAATTTGGCCCCTTTGCCTTTTCACAAGCGCTGACATGGTTCTAGCACGACTGACACTGTGGTCGCTGATGATACGGTTGTTGAAACTATCAACGGCGGTACCATCACTCGTTACCGCAATGCCACCCACACATTCACCCAATACCAGACCGTCACCTCAGGTGTGACCGAGGCTGTCATCGAGACCATCCTGGCCACCGAGACTGCCGAGATTGTCGAGACTGTGATTGGAAGCACCCTGACTGTAGTTGAGCACAGCATGGCCACTCTCACCGTGACGGTCGATGCAGAGGAGTCGTCCGTCGTTGCCCCTGAGGTGACCTCTACTGTCATGGCCTCTGAGGAGTCGTCTTCCCTCATTCCTCCCTCTGTGACCTCCACAGCCATCGTCTCTGATGGTGCTTCGTCTGCCATCTCATCTGACATGACCACCGAGGTGGCCTCCTCGTCTGTTTCCAGCAACTTTAGCACCTCCACCACCGAGACCACCGTCACAGTCACTCCCACGGTATCTCTGACCACGACTGTCACGGTGGAAGCCCCTACGGGTGTCGCCACCATCATGGCCACCACCACGGTCGTCGGTGGCACCACGACTGTCCGTGTCACTCGCGATCACACTGTCTTCACTACACTCATCCCGGTCCAAACTGAGGTTCCTCAGACTTGTGCCGCCGACCAAACGGTGTTCATCACCGTGACTGAGGTCGCCAGCCCCATGCCTGTCGAGACCACAACGACCGTCTACCCTACTACCTCTGTGGTCACTCACACCCGCCACGGCATCGTGACAGTCACCTTTCTGACGACCGAGGTCCAGACTGTCATCCAGACTCTGTCGACCGAATTCGAGATGACCACCTCGGACGCACTCGCACAGCCAGGTACCCCGATCAAGGCGTCTACCACATCGTCCTTGTCGTCGGAAGCTCCCGTCACTGAGACGCAGGTCCTCACCCTGACGGAGACGGACATTGCCACGCACACCGTCAGCGTCATCGAGTCGGCGGTCCTGACGACCAAGGTCTCCATGTTCACCACCATCACCATCCGCATCGGCACCACGACCCTCCACGGCGGCGTCGTCACCGTGACCGTCGAAGCCCCCTCGCCAGCCCCGTCCAGCCCCGTCGCCGAAGACGCCGACGTGCAGACCGTGACCAAGACCGAGTACGCCACCGAGCACCTCACAGCCCCAACCCCCAGCGTCCCCGGCAGCGACGCCGCCCACAAGACGAAGACAATCTACGAGACCGAGACCCACGCGCTGTCCGTCACGGTCATCGACCCCATCGTCGTCTCGGCCCCCATGACGCTCTACAGCACCGTCACCCACACCGCCCTCGTCACGCGCACCATGCAGACCACCGTCGACGGCACCCTCGTCGAGCAGGCCGCCACGCGCCCTCGAGACCAGCACCGAGGTCCTGACCCTGACGCGCACCATCGGCCTCAACACGACCGCGCTCGTCACCGCCACCGGCGAGACCCGCTCCCTGCACGTGTCGGGCTTCCTCCCCGGCCCCGGCGCCAACGCCACCCCGTCGATGGCCTGGCCCGTCGAGGTCTCGGCCGGCGAAGAAGCGCGCGACACGCGCGCAGCGTCTTCTCGCTCGTCCTCGCCTTTGCGGCGCTTCTGTGCCTTTTCTGAAAGGAGATCCCTTGACCTGCCACCCCCTCCCTTCATCATCAGAGGTGGGCAGTTGTGGGCGGCAGCATGCTTTGTCGTTGACTCTTTCTCCTGGAGGAGTCTGACTGGAGTGAGCATGTGCACCAAGCCCTGGGATTTGAATCGAGGCAGTTTGTGATTTTTCGGCGTTTCAGGCTTCATCGCGCCGGCGTGCGCTGGATATCCAAGGGAGTAAACTGGCCAGTGCAAGCTGGCATTCTTGGTCTCTATGTGAAAGGGTTTGGAATCAAGGCTTTCCCCTGGCCGTTGGGCTACTTTTCTCTCCCTCTTGAGAGAGGGAGCATGGATAGTTTGGACTCAATGTGGGAAGAGGTCCCTTCTCTCCATGTTACCTTAGGCTAGGCAAAAGAAATTGGCAGTTTCATCCCGATGGCGTTTGACGTTGGTGAAGTGTTTGGCATTGCGTCAGACGGCCGTTCAGTCATCATGCTGGCTTTCCCCGTCTCCCTTTCATGAACTTGCTAGACGTGCCTGCCAGTGATCTATGTACCCATCCTCATCCAACACCAGTGATCGCTGAGAGGCCTTATTGAGAGACAAAAGAGAAGTCAAAAAAGAGAAAAATAAACACTCAGTTTTTCGCAACCTGGAGAATTCTCTTCTCCATCTCCTCAAACGAATCAACGACCTCTCCATACCTCTCAAAGATGCCCTTCCTGTACCCGATGTCGACCCTCTCGACAGCCTCGTCCTCCTTCCACCTGGCGCCGATGAGCTCGTCAAACGTCTCGCCCTCTTTCCTCTCCCGCGCCCAGACGGCCTTGTAGGCGCCGCCGAGCGCGCAAGCGTTGCCGCCGACGTCGAGCCTGTAGACGCCCTCGGCGCCGCCGAGGACCTCGCCCAGCACCTGCCCGATGGCCGGGTTCAGCGAGCCGCCGCCGACGAGGTAGATGCGACGTGGCTGCGCGGGAAGCCCCTCGCTGGGGGCGTGGACGAGGTTGCGGCTGCGGAGGC